TTTTTTTTTTTTTTTTTTTTTTTTGAGGACTCAAGAAACGAGTATCACGAAAATGTTTCATCGCCGTAATTTTCTTTCACCATTTTATTAACCTACTTTGATTTCCAAGTGTCAACTTTTAGTGCAAATTTCATAAATAAACACGAGAGCGATAGTTAAAAAACATTTTGACATGGATATTTTAGATTTTCGTCAACCCGACGACGAGGTATCCCGCTTTTAAGTTTTAGCATAGAGAGAGCAGTGGAGTATCATTTGTGCGGTGACACTGCACGCGGCGTTTGAATAGTATTTTGCGCCTACAAAAACTTAAAAGTGTGTGTCTCGTCAACGGGTTGACGGAAATCAAATATTTCAACACCAAAATGACGTATTCAAATTCATTTTCCGTCTATTGATGGCATTTTTAGTATAAGTTACCGTTTGAGGATTTACCTCCGAAAATAAGGGTGATAAAAACTAATGACAATGTGATTTTTTAGAGCTACTTGTTTCTTAAATTGTTAAAAAAAAAAAATACGAAAAAAGTTAATACTTTCGAAGATCGAAGATCTTCGTGGGACATCCTGTACCTATATATAATATATTATATACTTTTTCAATTTGTGCGTTCTTGACGTGTAAACTGTTTTTTTTTTGTTTTTGTTTTTTCATTATCTACGCTACGCAGCGTTGACGTAGGTACGATAAATCATGGCGGCCCGAAACAATTGAATCACGTCGGCGACGCATTGAGCATTTTTTCGCCGTTTCCCAAACACCGCGCGTACACCTGCGAGATGCGTTACTCGTGTTTTCAAACACCCACTATATATTATTGTTACAACGTTCGGCAAAATTTTTTATTTGTACGTTCTATGCGTGAAAAAAAAAATCCCTAAAACTCCGAGAGCACGCTCGGCTTTGCCGAGGACCGCGACGCGGCGATATTTGTGTTTGCGGTTTATGCCGAACGGTCTAGAAAGTAATTGATAAACCGACTGTGCTCATGTTTATTTAAATTTTTCTCGGATCGGCACTATATGAAGCGTAACCTACTCTATCCACACACTCAAACACACGCGCGTACACGTACACATAAAATATATAAACTATTATAATAGAGCCGCTATCCATATTTTATGTAGATCGCCGCCACCGCTACCGGTCCGCCGTACAGCAACCCCAAGTACGTGACCGTGTATGTAGCACCGGGTGGCGTACTAACAGACGTTATCCGATTTCGGCCCGAACCGAAACGTAACCTTGTTGGTTTTATTTTAACCGTTCCGGGATGTATTGGGGGTATTGCAAAGCACAACCTACGCCTGTGGGTCTAAATCTGACTGTAATTCTCCAAGTGTCCTAAGTGTGAACATAAAGCCTACGTCCGGCAGTAGATGAAAAACCACGGCGGGTTACGTATTTAAATACCGCTTAGGGTGAGCTCGGATAGGGTCTGTAAATACGCGACCGGGCACAGGATTTCCACGCTCTCCGGTCGTCGCACCGGTGACGACGGTCACTTCCCGCCGCTGTATAGGTACCGTCCGGAAACGAAATTTTGTCGGGCAGACGGGAATTATTAATCGAACGGAAACACGAAATGGCCACTTTAAACGACTTTGGATAGCTTTGCAAACGGCGATTGAAGTCCAGAAAACCACCAAGCGCGAGAAATTATTATTCAACAGCACGTTAGGAAAAGCTATATTTTTGGAGTCATTCATTCGGTTGTAAAAAGAACGAGCATATTGAGTTTGCGGTACCGATAATAAAATGACAAATGCCAACACTAAATTTGTTTAGTTGGTCGGAAAAACAGACGTTATTCGAAGAAAAAAAGCATAACCAATTATAATTTTTTATGTTTTTCTAAAGCATTTTCCACTAGGTGGTACATTTTTTATAATATTTTTCGAAATCTCAATAATTTATTCGAAAAATTATTTTTTTGCTTTTGCTTTAAATACTTTTTGCATAATGAAGTGCTCAGATTTGTTCACGTCGTACTTCAAGAGATGTGAAATTTGCATTCGACGTTAATTAATTTGAAAGAATTGTATAGATTTCCAATAGTTTACCCTCCTCTTTCCTACCCCACAAAAAAAAATATCGTGATAAATAGTATAACCTTAACATTTTCAAGACAACTGCTAAAAATTGTTTTTTGACTGCACGATTAAATCTTTCGTTCAATATATAAATTAAATTACTCTACATTCAATAACTTCCAAACTACAGTAAGTATATTTTTTTAGTTTTTTTTTTTAATAAACATTTATTTTATATTCACTTAACCCCTATTTCTCAAATGTTTTATTCGAATTTGTAAGACGATATTAAACATACTTTCCGATGTCCGATTTAAGTTTTTAAAGACTATTTGATTTTTTTAATAATTTATCTACGTTATTTAGGGAGTAGGTTTCAGATTCGAAAATCTGGAAAATTGAAATATTATTTTCAAACATTCGCGAAATAACTACATTACAATTGCATTTATTTTGGATTTTAGACACCCAAAGTTTCAAATCGAAAAAGAAGTCCTAGGATAATGAGGACGAGTGAAACCATTGTTATAGATAATTTAATGTAAACTTGTAATCAACATTAAAGTATTTCTTATGAAAAAACGATTCTGAGTGGACTTCAGTTCATAGAGATGCTTTGTCAACAATATATATGTAATTTTATAGTAAAATAACTAAATAGGCTTAAGTCAGTAAAAGAAAATATATACATTTTTTTTTAACAATATTCGTTTAATGTTGTACCGATTTTCCCAGTTTTCCTATGTTTTTCCGTGTTTCCCATGTTTTATTCTGGTTTGTCACATTTCCTGGGAAAACTCTTGGGAAAATCGAAAAATGGCATCTTTGAAGTACCTTGGAAGTGACATTTTCTTTTAAAAACATTGCTGTCATTAAATGATAGAGCAAAAGTGCTGGTAGAAAAGTTGTGCACAGGAAAAAAGAAGGCCATAATATATTTAACTAGTACCTATATTTCTTATATTTTTCCGTTTTTTTTTCAGTTTTTCAAATTTTATGGGAAAACTTCTAAAATTCAAAAAATTACTTTTTTGTATCTACCTACGACGGTTAACTTTCAGAAAATATACTACACGCAGAAATCAGAGCATGTATTCTAATGAAAGTCTTGCGCACAGATAAAAAAAAAAAAAATAAACATCTTTGTAAAACTGTAAGCTTTTCGCTCCATTCAGAATCTAAAAATGAATTCCTTAAGAGCCTCAATTTGTCGACATTTCCGTACACATTTTAAAAGTTGATATTAAATATTGACATGTAGACATTTTTAATATTTCTTTCGCTTATTGGTCTCAAACATCATATTCGTTTGTAAATTCGGCTGAATTCTTTCCCGTTACACAAAGGTAAAGTTTATTATTATAATTATTTAGAAGTAAAAACAAAATATATATTAAATTTTAGACAATTAAAGAGAATTGAGCAAACTAAACTTTACTTCCCAACCGTTTTATCAATTTTTCAATAGTTCTTTCGTGTGTCTATAATCTTTCAGTCGCAGTATATTATAACATCATCGTAATGCAATATTTTTCGAACGATTTCCCGATACGGTTATCGCGTGTGCCACAATGTTTCGCAAACGGCGTGTGAAAAAGGCAATTTTTCTTTGTTGACGATAAATCGCGTTTGTCGAAAACTTGAACCCTCGTCATAATAACGAACATTTATCGCCTTCGGGCACCGGTGTTTAAAAAAAAATATTAATTTAGAGTAGAGTGGAGTCACATTTATAATTAGTATCCCTACTATGGCCACTCATTTTTATTTTATTAATATATATTTTAATTTTTAATTTTGATACGCTAGGCTGGGTATTGATGAGTTAATAAGTTAAAAATGTAATTATTTTCAACTAATAATAACATTGTTGTAATTATTTTACCATCATATGACATAATGTCAACGTGTCATTATACATGTATATTATATATCGTTGACAAAATTTCACTGACAACTCCGCTCAGAATCGTTTTCGTTAGCAATGGTTTATCGTTGCTTACAAATATGCACATTGAATTCCTGGCTGTATCCTACTTTCCCAACTTCCCACCAACAACAGTGGCTGCACCCACGTAAGAGTATGTCCGCTTTTTTCTTTTTTTTTTTTTTGATTGAATGATGAATTAAAATTTATCGAATATGTCCGTTATATTCTCATGCAACAGTTTTCGGAGACGAAACCAGGCAATATTTTGCTATTCAAGTGAATCGGGTTGGCCGCGAATATTCCGTGCGTCGCATATTCGCCTACCTGCCGGAACGATAATATTCACTGTATGAAAATATGCCTCCGGATTCGCCGGCATCTCGCATGCGAAATATAAACAACAAGCTATATAAGTACACCTACCTACAACAAATTTTCGTTATTGCTTTTTTATACGTAATAGAAAAACAAATCTATTTCGTTAGACTACGTTTTCGACTAGTAAAATAAATAACATTACTATGAATAGTGCTTTTATTTATTTATTCATTTTTTTTTTTTTTTTTATTGTTCTTCGGTAATTCTTTTGTACTACTGAATACTTCCGTTTCACGATAGAATCGTATATACTCTCGTCATATTTTATATTAAAGAAAAATCGAAGTCATTCCAATACGGAAAATAACGATTTCGACGACATTTTATCCAGTACCGTTTCCCAGATCATCCTCGGGTAAATATGATGCATACGAAAAATCACTACCTACATTTGATTGTCAAATATCGACCTAGTAAAAAAAAAAAAAAAAAAACCAAACATAGATATGTAGTATTAGATTACATACATTTTGGTGTTGCAATTTTAAATTTCCGTCAGCCCGTTGCCGCACAAATAACGCTCCCTCTGCCGATAATTAAAAGTGGTAAATCGCGACGTACGTTGACATGATTTAAACAAATACTTCATCCAGATATGGAATTTTTAATACAGGTTGCTATTTGAAAACCAAAAGCTGGTAGTGGTTTCACTAACTCGAAATTGAAGGTGTTATAAAATTATCGCTAACGTATCGTTTTAGAGCTACTCAAGAAGTGCTTGTTATGTACAGTTTACAAAACAAAACAAAAATAATAAACACTTCCCAAGATAATGTACGTCTTTATAACGCTATTATAATACTTTTACGGTTTTTTAAAATCAATAAATTCATCAACCGATAATCAATAGATGCGGATTTAGCGTCCATCGATAATACCCAAAACGTTTTTCTAGATTCCCGAAAATGTAAAAGACATTTAGAGGCCTCGGGGCCAAACTTTCCAACGAGTCTCTCATTGAAAAATTAATAATTATTTTTTTAAATGTTTACTAATCAATATGTTGTTTAACGAAAGTAAAATGATAAATAGTATAATACATCATATTGATCTCAATTCAAAAGCCACAATTATTGTTTAAAGAAATAAATATATTATTTTTAACACAGTCACTAGTAGTTCTACTATATAATATCACAATAACACGAATAGTAACACAAAATCATTGTCAGGCAACGAAGACACATCAAAACATCAAAATACAAAGTTAAACATACTTTAGCAGAAACTTGTGCCCCGGGAGTCTGGCGGTCCGGAGCCCGTGGCCTTCCCTAGACCCATCTCTTAATTCTTGCTTGCCAATGTCGATGCGTGAACGCTCAATATCGAATATCGGACACAGTAATTTAAA